ATATTTTTATATAAACAACTAAAATTAATTACGGAGTTATTATTTATTTATAGTATTGTGATATAAATATAAATTATCATAATCACTATAGGAACAAGACACGTGCTGCCATCTGTTGTTTTTTCTAATGTACCCTTATGTTACCGACCAAAATCTTGTGATAACTGCATTTTCAGATTTTCATTTGCAAGAAAATATAATTACAAGAAGATTAGTTAGTTTGTGATCTTGTACAATTGTACCATCATTTCTAGATTTTAGGCTTTTCTCTCACTTTAACTCAGAAAAGTGTACGGATAAAGATTTGAAATTTCAACTCAAATAGATCGAGACACTCTGTTAGGTAAGGAGCACGATAGTCTGCGACAAGAACAGCAATAGATTGGTAGTACCACCGTTTCGCCGCTACGTGGCGCTGGCATTTCAGTGTTTACGAACCGGTCAAATTTTCATTTACAGAAAGACACTAATTAATCGAATTAGTTTGTTAACACCTTATAATCGCTTCCCTTAAATTGTCTTTAAACTTCATTTTTATGTTTCATTTGATTCATAAAATACTTGTACAAAGATTTGAAAGTTTTGTTCAATATTCAGATAGGAGACGTGGTTCCGATGATGTTTAAATAATTTCTGGCAAAAGTGTAGGTGTTATGTTTAGAACTTTGGAAAGGTATCGTTGCGATTTTGTAAGTTGTGGTCTATGAAATATCAATTTTATTTGACGAGTTTCAGCTTTGTCACAGAAAGGTAAAATAGTCGTGCAATCGATTAGATCAGCCATGTATATACGTAAGACGAACTTTATTAAAAAATTGCGGAATGAATTAACACATGCACAGCATAAAGTTTAGTATGTATACACATATATGTGTTCTTGTATTATCTTGTAGTTACAGCAAATTGTACTATAAAAAATCAAATTGCAAGCTGAATTTCAAATAATAAAATAATATATTTTTTCACTTTTAGAAAAGCGAAATAAAAGTCGAGTCACTGTTACCAACCATTAACATTGAACAAGTGATATGGACAAACTGTAATCAGTGCATTATAAAATGGTAAGTAGTTACTTGGTTTGCACTTATCGTGTAAAAATATAATTTCAACTCGCACTATGTTGTACCTGTATATGACTCATACGATTTTACTGTGTTGTAATGTACATCACATGGAAATGGAAAAAGAAGACACAAAGAAGCATTGCACGTGAGATGTACCTACATGCATATTCTATCGATGCTGAAAGTTTCAAAAGAAACTAATCAATCGAATTAATTACTGTTACGTGGAAATGGTGGAGGAAGACACGATGAAGCATTGAACGTGAAATATACCTGCGTGCATATTCTATCGATGCTGAAAGTTTCAAACGAAACTAATCAATCGAATTAATTACTGTTACGTGGAAATGGTAGAAGAAGACACGAAGCATTACACGTGAGATGTATCTAAACACGCATTTTATCGATGCTGTATTTCAAAAATACAAAGAGAACGTTTCTATGCAGTTTTCTAGTAGGTATTTCGCACAGATCCATTAAAATTATAATTGTATTTGTTTGATATTCCCCGTTACGTGATCAAGGTACAGTCTTGGTCTTGTCTTTCAGCGGGAGGAACTCTTCCGGTTGATCGGCAACGTCTACTATTTTGGTTCGTTGATCTTCTCGTCTCTGCTCGGGGTTGTTCCACGTTTGCAACTGACCGCTGCCAAAAATGGCGAACGAGAGGGCGCCGCAGCAATAAGTGAATGCCAGTACCAAGAAGACTTTGCTCCATTGAGCGTAGGTTTGATTCTTGTAGGTTATGGTGCCGACCATGTAGCTGCTGAGGAATCCGCCTAAGGAACCGAGCGTGTTCATTATGCCGAAAATGGTGCCTGAAAAGTTTGGCGCGATGTCCAAGCTGTTCCCGAGGTATCCAGCAGTCACCGCGCCGTTGATCGTCAAAGCGATCGTGAAGATCGACACGGACGTAGCGCGGTCGCATCCGTAATTCGCTTGTACGATCATCAACAGCCCCGGGCTCAATACAGCTGCGAACAAGCGGAATAAAACAGCGATATGGGATGTCCAGATAGATGAGCCGCGACGAATTTAGTTTCATACGTACCGAAAGTGGTGAAAATTTTACGGATAGCCGTTACTGACAGTCTGTTAGTTCTGAACAGGTAGTCGGCCAAGGAAGATGTTGCGACGGCGAATATGTATTTACCAAAGTACGGCAAGGACGATAGCAGCCCGTTCTGCGAAGAAGCAAGAGGCACGATCGAGTCGATTGAAAAGTATCAAAAGTGGACTCGTCTCGTGGCGAGGGAAAATAGTACCTACGGACCTCTTTGATGTTGAAATTTAAGATGTACTTCATGTACGTTGGTAGTTGATTAACAAGGGTGAAGTAACCGAACACGCTGCACGTGTGAGTGACTACGATAGTCCAAACGGGGATCGAGAGGAGGATGGATTTCCACGGGACGGGCAATCGCTGAAAAATCAAAACGAGAGAAAGAGAGAGAGAGGGACAAAATATTTCGACGCTTGCCTGTACATGGAGCAGATACGAGTTTCGATCGTACCTTGGTCGTAGAAGTAGAACCGATCGAGTCCTCGATGTATCGGCGCTCTTCGATCGTGATCCTCGGATGTTCGCGGGGGGAATCGAATATTAAAAGAAACCAAGCTACGCTCCACGCGAGGCCTATCGTCCCGGTTACGTAGAACACGGATTCCCATCCGAGGTAAGCGATTAGAAATCCACAAACCGGCATCGTTATCGCTGCCCCGAGCGACGAGGCTATAAAAAACAAAAAAAAAAAAAAAAAAAAAAAAAAAAAAAAAGAAACGAGGAAGAACATAGCGATAATTATTTGCTCGGAATCGTTTACTGCCGGACAACTGGATACATTATGATAAAACGCGATACGTACCCATCATGTTCGAAACGAATTTACTACGTTCGGTCGGTGGTATCCACCGAGCGGTCATCGGCTGGATGGCTGGCCAGGTAGCTCCCTACGGCGCACACGCATAAAATCGATTAGATTTGACAACTGACGAACGAGATCGCCGAGGTTCCAACAGGCGAAAGAGAAACCCACCAGCATGAATCCGATCAGCGTTCTCAAGACAACGACGGCGACATAGCCGTAGGTGGCCGACAGAGGCGTTAAGAAAGTGATGGCGCTGGATACCAACATGCTGTATCCAAACACCCTTTTAGGCCCTATTATTTCAGCGAGGCGTCCACCTGGCAATTCGGTGCACACGTAGCCCCAGAAGAAGCTACCCAACACCAGATTGGTCTGGTACTCGTTCCACGGGAATTTCGTCCGATTGGTTTCCTCCTGAGAACGAGAACCGAGATCTCGAATTTCGAGCGAACGAGAAGAGACGAGTGACAAGTAACGGAGTGAACGTACGTGCGTTGTACGCGCTGGATAAAGGGACGAGGTTGCAGCAGAATCAGGGTCGACCGTGCTCGTTGATCCACCAGTGTCGAACGAGGTAACGTTTGCGGTGACTCGACGGTCGAAGCACTCGCTCATGCCGGGTCTATCGCTGCTGTTCGAGTGTGGCGAAGTATCGTTGCTCGGCATCACCATCGACACTATGGCGATCGTCATGTTGACGCGCAGCATATAGTTTAGCATGAAACCAAGTATCACCATGATGTTCAACACTTGTCTGCACGTCAGCGAATCTGAAAGCACGAGGGTCCCGTCGAGAGCGTATTTATCGAATTGCCGAGGCAGGGACGCGTGAAATGGATGTAACGAGCTCGTTTGGTGTAAAGTAAAGCGTTGAAGCAGGCTTACACCGATTGATCTATCAGTTCAATGATGTATCTGCGTATTTAGTTTTACTATACTGCGTACAATGGCGTACGGTGTGTTTAATAAGAACACGTGGACATGTAAAGGTCAAAAAAATTTTTTTTTATATTATATTCTACTCATTACGAAGGTGAAATTTTCGACTAAGGAACCAGATCGCAATCTAGATCTCTTGAAAAATAGCAAAAAAGTTTCTTAGTTTAATGTTGCGGACGCGTGCGTTCTAACAGCGACTTTATGGTTCTGGACGTAATGGCGTGGATGTAACGTTTATATTTCGAATAACAGTTGGTTTTGTTATTTAATTATTTAGATTCGCACTAATGTTTCTCTTCTTTTCTTTAAGTTTCTTAATTTAATTCTGCAGACGCGTGCGTTCTAACAGCGACTTTATGACTCTGAACGTAATGGTGTGGCTGTAATGTTTATATTTCGAATAACGTTAACAGTTGGTTTTATTATTTAATTATTTAGACTCGCACTGTACACTAATAGTTCTCTTCTTTTCTTCTTAAGTTTCTGAATTTAATACTGCAGACGCGTGCGTTCTAACAGCGACTTTATGACTCTGAACGTAATGGTGTGGCTGTAATGTTTATATTTCGAATAACGTTAACAGTTGGTTTTATTATTTAATTATTTAGACTCGCACTAATGTTTCTCTTCTTTTCTTTAAGTTTTTAAATTTAATACTGCAGACGCGTGCGTTCTAACAGCGACTTTATGACTCTGAACGTAATGGCGTGGATGTAACGTTTATATTTCGAATAATGTTAAGAATTAATTTTATCTAATCATTTTTTTATCCAAATTGCTGACTCATACTGATGCTACAATTATGATAAATCAAATGTTAATGAAATCTAATCTAAGCATCGTAAGGATAAAGTCGCTGTTAACACGCACTCGTTGAATGATTAAGAAACTTTTTTGTCGTTTTTCAAGAGAACTATTAGACTGCGGTCTATGGTTTCCTTGGAAAAGTTTCACCTTTGTAACGAGTAGAATACGATGCAAGAAAAAGAAAAATTTTTGACCTTGAAATTCAAGATCAAGATCAATTTTGCAATAGGTTCTGTACATATTTCGATCAAATCGAAGGTGTCAAAACTCGTCTATGACAGCCACGGACAAACTTTTCTTTCCACCCTGTACATATGTATGTATGTATGTATATGCATGTTAACTCGCCATTGTCGGACCTTGCGTACACCGATTTCAGCAAAGTTGTTACGCGTCGACAAAGCACGTACCGCGCGACTCGAGCTACGTACGAATATTGTATTTATGGATTCATAATACGAATATTGTATTTATGGATTCACAGTAGATATTTTCCGACAGTTGCGTAGTTTTCATCGGGAACGTTCGAACGAATGTACCTGCGGCTCGCGCCGCCGTGCGCTAATCAAAGTTCACGGAGACGGTGGAGACAAAGGCACGCGAATTCGCACGCGGGTTGTTTTCGCGCGTTCGATAATCGGCAGCGACCTTCACCCAGAACTTGAAGACGCGTGTTGTTTCCCGCTGCTATTTATATTCGCGTTGGCTGGCACAACGTAGCTGCGCCGCGCTCCGGGAGGAATCGCGATTTCGATCGCGGTCAAGCGAGCCACGTCGTGGAACAGGCGAGCTCGCTTCACTTCCCAACTCGATACGAACGAACGTTCCAAAAGTTTCGAAAGCTGTGCCCCGACGCGTGTTACAAACGTGTAACTCTCAGGACGAAAATTGCCAACGATCCAGCTCTCTGTTTCTACTTGCGCGATGCAACGCGCGGAATCTACGCATGCAAGGTGTCGCTTACCTAGGATGTTCCGGTTCGAAGCCATTCTTGATGCGCCGCGGAGTGCAGATCGTCGATCGGGGATCCGCGTCTAGGGCAGAGTTGCCGCGACAGAAGAGGGAGAAAGGGCGAGAAAGGGCTGAAAAAGGGACAAGCTGGGAAAGAGCCGATCGTCGTGGGCGACGAGACCGCGAGAGTGGGAAGAGAGTACTGCGAATGAACAGATCTAGAGAAGATCTACGGGTGTAGGAATATCGAATGTGTCGCTGGCAACGGGTCGAGTGATGTTGATCGAATTGCGCACGGTGAGGTGGGTCCTGTCCTCTGCCAACGATGACGTTGCGACAGAGAGCGTGCAAATTGCCTCAACGGACTGCGTATAGAGCGGTATAGAGCGTATCGTTCCCTCGACGTGTTGGTATTTCTATTTCTACTTCTATTGGCAACTGCGCGAGTGGTGGTTTCGCTGGTGTCGCCGCGAAACTGCCGCCGGATTATCGGACACCTCTGACGCAGTCCCATCGCCGCAACGCGTATCAGCAGTTTCTACTTGTTTCACTAACGAAATGGCCGAACGATTGCGGAAACGAAGGTCAACGATCGTGCTTGAATCGCGTCGCGGTCGAAACGATAAGTTTAGAATTAGTTAGATAAGCTAGACGGCTCGTTGGAATTGTGAGAAACCGTCGGCGAAAAACATGGAACGAGTCGGGGGAAACGATCGGTGGAGGACACAGCGGCAGAGAACAGTCGGGATCTCTCGATATAAATTTATAAACTTTACTTGACTCTATGTACATGCAAACAAACTGGCAAACGTTGGCGCGTTGTTCGAAGATTCGTTTTCATCGTTTTTCGCAAGACTATTCCAGAATGTTGAGTTTGCTCGAGGTCTTTCTGAGCTGCGCTCGCCACGGAATGATCTGCGTGTCGTCGTCGTCGTCGTTGTCGTCGTCGTTCGTCCGGTCTGCCTGCGCCCTGTGATGCGAAGAAACGCTCGCGTCGGTGTTCTTCTTTTCCTCGACGTCCGGTTTCTCCTCTTGCCGATCGCGTCCGATACGCGAGGAAGGGATCGACGATGGCGACGCGTCTTGCCTCGGTGCCGGTGTCGGTGTCGGTGTCGGAGTCGGTGCAGGTGTTGTCGTCGGCGTCGACGTCGGTATCGGTGTCACCGTTACGTCCATCTTGCCCGCTGGTATCGCGTGCGCTTGGTTCAGTCTAGAGCGAAAAAACTCGTGTTATTCAAAATGTATTCGACGCTACTATACTACACCGCTCACAAAAAATACGGGATATTTCACAATGAATATGAAGTGATAAAAAAAGTATTTGATTTTGCTTTTCTGATTTTCTTGTTTAATAAAAAAAAAAAAAAATCAAATACTTCTTGCAGTATCTAATGCAAATATTCTCTAATTTTTGTGAGCAGTATAGTATATACTATGCTGCTATATAGTATATACCATACTGCTCACAAAAATTAGAGGACATTTCACAATGAATATGAAATGATAGAAAAAAGAAGCATTTGATTTTGCTTTTCTGATGTTCTTGTTTAATAAAAAAATCAAATGCTTCTTGCAATATCCAATGCAAATATCTCCTAATTTTTGTGAGCAGTATTGTATATACTATACTATATATAGCAGTATAGTATACTATAGTATATTAGTGTATTTTGTGAGCAGAATAGTATACCATACTAAAAATTAGGGGATATTTGCATTCGATGTTGCAAGAAGCGCCTATCAATGTCAGGCCTGGTTAATCTTCCAGCAGCTGCTACTATTATTTTTATCAGACAGCTAATAACAATCAGGTTCCATCCATCAGACTAAATGATTGTTAATCGCAAAGTAGAGAAAAAAGGAAGGCACACCTTCTTTCCTCGTTGTCCTTCTTGGCAAGGAGCTGCCTCTTCCAAGCGGGAATCGCTTTCTGCCGCCTCTCCTCGTTCTCCCTGGCGATCTGCTCTTCCAGCTCTTTCTTCGCTCGCTCGGCCGCCTTTCGCGCCAGCATTTGCCGTTTCCATATCGGTATCACGTTCCCGCAACTGTCTTTCTCCGGGATCTTCCGAGGAAAAACGACAATAAATGTAAATATAAATATAATATAATATAGTATAATATAATATAATATAATATAATATAATATAATACAATATAATGTAATATAATATAATATAATATAATATAATATAATATAATATAATACAATACAATATAATATAATATAATATAATATAATACAATATAATATAATATAATATAATATAATATAATATAATATAATATAATATA